TGGCAGTAGCCACACAAACTCAGAAACATCACTTAACTATTGGTTTTATTAGGGAAATTGACATGTTACGTGTAAGACCAAAAGAAAACCCATTAAGGATATACGTAGGCCTTTCCCCACAATGTCTCTTCTCAGCCATGCCATTAGGCATGTCTTTCTATGGTCCTCATCCTCTCAGCTAGGTGACCAAATGACCTCTGGCCTCCTCTAGAAAGTGTTACAAAGTTCCTTTAGCACTAATGAATGACCAAAGGATAACCCTGCAAGTCAGCCTCCTGTTAGGGTACTCAGCTTTTCTTGTTGCATGGGCTGAGGAGCTTGCTGCTGTATCTCATGGTCTGCTGTCACTGTGGCTACTACTTCATGACCTCTTTTGCCATAGCTTCTTAGCTGGGATCCTAGCTTAGCATAGCTCCTCCTTGGGCTGGTTGTGGCATTCTATGTTCTGTTTCTGATATGGCTTGCTTTATACCCAGTGTAATGACAAAAATGACCAGTCCCCACGAGCTACATTCTTCTATCCTTTATTTTCATGTACCCACCCAGCATTTAGTGTGATTTGAAGACTATGTATGGAGGTATTTTTACGTGTAGGAATTTATTTACTTAATTTCAAGTGAAAATTACAGCTTATTTTGCCTTAGGTTCTTTTTTGTACATATTCTCAGAATTTAACTATTTTGTATAAAACTTCTCATCATTTTTTCATTCATCAAAGCTTTCTAGTCAGACACATTTGAATTTGACTCTGCTATTTCTGATTATTATTATTAATTATTAGCTAGTTATTATTCTGTGAGCTACTTACCTCTCTGTGCTTTTAGTTTCATTATTTTTAAGCCATGGACATTAGTAACTGTGACAGAAGGTTTTTTGGTTTCAGGTTACAGAATTCCACCTAATCACAACATAGTGTTCTCAATATGGGTCGATAAAGGAGAGACGAGTTCCTGGAGAAGGACATCTTGCATAGTAGGGAGACAGTGAAAAGAGGAAGGCCCTCAACCAGATAGACATGCTCCTGCACAGGAACAATTGTGAGGATGACGCAGGACGGGCTGTGTTTTGTTCTGTTGTGCCTCGGGTTGCTAGGGCTGGAACCAAGTGGATGACTGCTAACAACAACAGCTATGGATGTATTGAGATGGTAAGGACAGAAAGCAAGCGCAGACCCTTGTGGATCTAGAAATAAGAATTGAAAAACTGGTAGAAACTGAGACATTTATTTAATGCACCTGTCTCGCTCTCAGTTTTTCTCTTTCTCTCCTCCTCTCCATTTCTCTCATCTCCTATTTTAATTCTTTGTATATTTGCCTTCTTCTTTCTTTATTTCTCCACAGGGGAGTGTTATTGCTTTGATGTACTTAAGGCCAAGCACGAGAGCCCTCAATAACTGAACCTACCCCCACCCCTAGTTGTTAAAAAAGAGGTTTTATTGGCATATAATATACGTATCATATTGTTTAATTGTTCAATCAAAATGAAAGAGTTGTGCAATCATCATCACCATTAATTTCAGAACATTTTTTCTCATACTCATTGTTAGCTCCCCATTTCTTCCAAACTTCTGCTGTCATGCCCCTAGGTAATTATTATTAATCCAGCTACAGTTTCTATAGATGTACCTGCTATCCTGGATATCATATGCATAAATCATATAAAACATAAAAAACAAAACCCAATAAAAATGACAATACAAAAGAGAAAAGCTTCAATTGAAAAGAAAGGAAATACTAAAAATGGAAACAGCTTTGAAATGGGTCAAAAGGGAAAGCAAGTGATAAAATATTACATTATAACCTAACTACATCTGCCATACTTGACTTTATTTTCTGTCTGATAGCAAAGCTATTCATATCCCTGGATTATGTTCAGAAGAGATTCACCAGAGTCTTAATCCACGTGGGGACCTTGCCAATGGATTTTTGGCTTCCACTGTCAATCCATAGCCTTCTGCGAACCAAGTGTTTGCGACTTAAATGCTGGTACCATTCCTTCCTTTGGATTTGAATTTTAATATTTATAATTCTTGGATCCTTTTTCCATGTAGACTTAGTTGACACCTCACTTAGATGGCTGCTTGTTTTAAGACAAGCCTTTAAGACTTCAGATGCTTTTCGTTCTGATAGCCAGGCACCATCTAGTTTCTTTAACACATTTTGTTAATAGTACCCATATCTAGTGATCTCTTCAGGAGGGCGAGTAGTGAGTAGGATCATGTCATAAGAACTAGTTGTTCTTAGATCGGGGCTAGAGTTAAGTGCAAGCCCCAAATGCGTTCATATATCTATGGTTTATGTCTTTGGTTCACTAAGATACCTCTTTATTGTTTGATGATAGAGAAAATTATACATCATCCCCTGAGTTAACCTCAGTTTTTAGTGGTGAGCTGTGACTAACTAGTGACTCTCAGCTCGAATCACAAATTTCAAAGAGAAAGACATTGTTTGGCCCAGTTTGTATCAGCTGTGTGTGCATAATGATATTGTCTTTGGAAGAGGAAGAGGAGTGTCATAAGATACAAATAAGTGCCAAGACAACTATAGCTGCGGGAAATAGTTGGTGTTAATAGTGACTGTCCCCTTAATGCCTGTCTCTTTAGAGCTGCTGTGATGACTTAGTTAAATATGATATGAATAGCAGTGACTTTCCTAAGAGAACTAACTTTTGGTAGAGTAGAGAATTGTGTCTATCACTGAAAACTTGTATCTCCCAGCTATTAATTGCTTGGCTTAATCTTTAGGGGCAAAGGAATAATCACCACTCACATCTTATAGTTGGTCACATAAATATTAAGCATCCTGCTTAATGTTACAGAGTGAAATAGTGTTAGACTTAGAAATAGACTACGCCTGTAGGGTTTTTTATTCTCTTCATCAAAGTGTACTTAATGAATTCCTAATAGCACATGAAGCCATGCCAAGAAGAGTGCTTTGACCCTTCCATGATCTCTAATAGCTTATAGTTAATACATACATTAGACATAGCAGATGGCCAATAAGGAATATTAAGTGAGTCATGAAAAGATTGGTAATACATTCATATTTAATGCAATTTTATAGTTTGTATCTATAGAGCTTAAAAAATTGTGGAAAAATGGAATTGAAAAATAATGAAGAATTTTCATGAACTTTATGAATTCCTTTGGATGGCTTAGAATGCAGTAGTAATATCAGAGCAATATTGGGGTTGATATTAAATTGAGTGGCCATGAGAATCATGCTTCTTACCTGAGTGGGGTAACAGACAATAAGCGATTCATTATACCCTGGTTACAGTATGAAATTGTCCTTATATTATTATTATTATTAGAAAAGTATACACAAAGTTCCAGATTAAAATATTCAATGTATAAATTTATAAAACCTCTATTATTTCATAGCATGAAAGCTTAATAGATCATATAAGTATTAAAGCTATAAAAACTTAGACATAATCAAGCATTTTGTGGCAGTAAATAGCTGGACTTGGGGAATCAGGAGCATCGTCTTGTGAACTCAAGGTCAAATAGCATGATATAGTTCACAAAGACAGTGTTCTGTATCTGACTTAGATGAGTAGAGACAGGGATCTTAAAAGTTTATTAACAGCCCTATAAGGTACAACTATTTGTGTTTCCCTGTCCAGAGGAAAGAAAAGGGATGAAAATCAAAAAGGTATGTGCAATTAGTCCAGTTGACTAATGGATCACAATAACATCAGTTTCCACAATCCTGAGATCAGAAAAACTACATGGTTCCCAGCTATCAGCAGTGGGTTAACTGCTTTGAAAAGGATCACATTCTCAATCTTCCTAATGCTGCGACCCTTCCATATAGTTCCTCATGTTGTGGTAACCTCCAGCCATAAAATTATTTTCATTGCTACTTCATCACTGTAATTTTGCTACTGTTATTAATCGGATGACCCTGTGAAAGGGTTGTGCAACTCCTAAAGGGGTCCCGACACATAGGCTGAGAACTGCTGTATTCGAAGGTCATGCATAGAGTGGAAGAAAAATGAGGGACAAAACTCAAAATCAGAAAAGAGAAAATAAAAAGGAACTAGGAGATGAATTACATTGCTCATACTGTTCTTGTCTACATTATCTATCTGAAAAAGGAATGATAAACTTAGTGGATTAATTATAGTTCATTATATAGCCCCCACCTTTGATCTTTTTAATCACCTAGTAATTTTTGTCCACATTGGATATATTCTTTATATAACGTAAACTGGTAGACATCTAAATGTGGAGGCTTTAATCTTGACATTTGTGGTGGCAAGAAAAAAAGTCTTATGTTTAAACACATATACAGCAATGGAGTAAAATGTAAGAGTTTTACCTATGCTATAAAATGATTGATTAGTTACTATGTTTAAGATGTTATAGAGAAACTATTGCAATTATTCATAAATATCAAGAAAAAATAAATTGTAATTATCATTTATAGGATGGCAAGTTGGAAAGGGACCTTGAGGATGGGAGTCATTAAAATGTTATGGTATTTTTAAATGCTGTGAAACAGTTTCATATCATTGTACAGCAGGTCTGATGATCAGGAAACTATAAAACAAAAGGGAAATTATTAAAGATTTATTAAAATAAAAAAATACGCAACAACAACAAAACAAAAGGGAAATTATTCTATTACCTCTTATGTTCCTTTTGATTCTATAAGCAATGGATCTAAGGAAAATTTTCATAAGATATGTGACTCCTATATCTGGATGGAATATAGTCTTCTCTAGAAAAGAACCTTCCTAGAAGTTTAAAACAGTACTGTGATTTTCGAGATCATACAGTTAATTACAAATCTGTGAACTGTAATGATATTAGTTTTGAGTGATTGACACTGTTACCCCCTCTATGGGAAGAGTTCTTTCACATGGAGGGTAGTATATACCACTCCCTAGTTTGCAGGTGTCAGGGTCACCAAGACACAACTCATGCACTTTACTCACATAAAGATGAGAAAAGGAAGTTAGCTTCTCTCATGGGTGTCATTCTCACTCCACAGCCAGCGCAGGGAGATTGTCTGCACACAGCCTTCCTGTACTTCAGGAGAAGGACCCCATTCCCATGCCACCCGAAACAGGTATGAACGTGGGCTTGGCCAACTGCCATGTAATGAACATGCTTAGCTAAGTAATTTCCGGGAATATTGACATGTTCTCAGAACGAGGCAAGAATGGTTTTTAGCTCACCAATGATATCAGATAGCAACAACGTATGTCTGTAGTACGTGCTGTTAATATTTTGTTAGTAGTTTTAAGAGTCTGCGAGTAAAATTATATTGTCTTGGCAACATTTGCACAGTTCTACTCTGATATGCACGGGTTGCTTTGTGTTAGCATTGTCTCCATGACAACTGTGTTAACATTTAAAGTTCAAAAACTGAGCATAAAAGATAACAGTGCAGTTAAAATACTGAACCTCAAGGATTCTTAGACTATTAAAATATTGAAAAAATAAATATTTCTGGGGCTTATATTTATATAATGTCTCATTTCAGAAATGCAGGTAAGTCTATACATTAATTGTCAACTCAAAAACTCGCTGCCATATCCAAAAAACCAAAGTCACAGCCATTGGGTTGATCCAAACCATAGCAACCCTGGGGAAGGGGGAGAATGCCTCTGTGAGCCCTTAGCAATTCATTCTTCCTTAGGCTATCAACCTGAACTAATGGCAATTTGTGACATATGTAGTATTTCATAATAAATACAGCTTTATTATTTCCAAGTTCATATATATCAAAATAAGTCTTAACAAATTATTTCTAAGTAGAGAACCCATTGCATGTAGCACAATGTGTGGGGAAAAGGTCATTGAGAAAGTCGCAGGGAAAACTAAGGTGAATAGATGTAATGTACTTCACAATGAAATATAGGTGAGTAGTGACTGATGCTTTTAAAGCTTGTGAGCAGCCATATGAGGTTATTCTCCATTTAAGAAAGACCAAAAAACCTGCCATTGAATCAATGCTGACTGATAGCGACCCTCTTTGGATTTCTGAGTCTTAAGTGTTCATGGGAATAGAGAGCCCAGTCTTTCTCTCTTGGAGCTGTTGGTGGTTTTGAACTGCCAACCATGCAGATCACAACACAGTGCTCAACCACTACACCACAAGGGCACCTTAAAAGGAAGAAGAGTGATAAAAATTGAAAGACATATGGGAACAATGAGTCCAATGGATCAATGGACAACACAAACATCAGTCTCTAAACCCTGAGACCAGAAAAAGTAGATGATGCCCTAATCTGAAAAGAATCACATTATTAACTTCTCTGAAAAGGATCACATTAAAAGATCTTGAATAGAGTGGGAGAAAGATGTGGAATAGAACTCTAAATCATAAAAAAGACCAGGCTTTCTCATCTGACAGAGACTCGTGGGACTCCCCCTTAGAATATGGCCTTAGTCAATCTTTAGGTCTGGAACTAGACTCACCTCTGTGTTAGAATAACCAGCCATTTAAGATCAAAAGGACAGTATTTAACCAACAACCAAGTTAGGAGAGGAGGGCTAGCAAGAATGAGGAATGGAAACAGGACACATATGGAAGAAAAGGCATTAGTGGTGATACACTGAGGGGACTGTAATGGGTGAGTCAAAACAAAATATGTATGAGTTGTTGACTTTAAAACTGTTAGATGCCTTTATTTCCTGTTATCCCATGTGCCCTTTTCCAGTGGTATAAGCTTAGTCCACCTTTTCTGAATATATTTACCTAATTCACAGTAAAAAAAAAAGATATGTAGATGACAAACAAGCACATGAATCATATTGGCAGTCCAAAGGACTAATGACCCACATGAACCACACCTCTTCTGGCCTGAGAACAGAAGGAAATAGATGGTATTCAGTTACTAGTGCTGACTGTTTTGACCAGGCCCCCATTAAGGCCCCAGTTAGAAGGGGAGAAAAAGGTAGCACAAAACTCATATTCATAAAGGCAACCAAATTTACTAGTCTTACAGGGACTGGAGTAACCCATGAAATGATTGCCTAACATCAACATGGCACTGAAGCAACTCCCAGAGTCCACTTCTCACCCGTGAGGAATGTGCTTGCCTGCCATCACCAGAAGGGCAACATTTGTCCAAAAACAAAATGAGAATACAGAAAGGGGCACAGAAACCTGATCAAACAGACATCAAGAGTGGAAATAAGGACACTACTGTCATAGTGTGGGGATTGCAGCCAATGCCACACGCTCATGCATGAGTTTTTAATGGAAATTCATTTACTATGTAAACTTTCACTTAAACCACAATGAAAAGTTAATGGTAAAAGGGTAATTGGAAATGAGTACTATTCATTTGTACACCAATAATTATAATTAGTGTATTTGTATTATAAAGAAAATTGTTTTATAAGGTTAAAACACTACCATCACTCTTTATCCTAGGGAATGTTTACATTATTATTATAAACTTTTTTTTTTAGAATTTTGAAAAAACAAAAAAACACAACCGACCCTACCCTATTTTTCGTTTTTAACTTTTTATTGTGATCTGGGTGAAAGTTGATAGAGCATATTGGTTTTCCATTAAAGAATTCATTAAAAGAATAGTTTCATGACTAATTTCAATTCCTACAATGTAACAATATTCTTGCCATGTCCCTTCCGTGTTTCCCATTTCCACTAGTTCTTTCTGTCCTGGCTTCGAACTTTATCTCCGGGCAGATGCTGCCCGTTGTTCTCCTGTTGATCTGATGAGTGCATATCTTTCTACTATTACTGTATATTTAAATAGATTCATCTATAGTTTTGCTGAAAGTTGAACCGCAAGGATGAGTTCAATTCGACACTTGAAAGGTGAGTAAGGGTCATAGTCTTAAGGGCTCCGTCAGTCTCTGTTAGATTAGTGAGCCTTGCCTTTTTGATTTTGAGTTTTGTTTCACATTTTTCTTCCACACGATTCAGAACCTTCTAATGTGATCCATTTCAGAGCCGTTAGTAGTGGTAGCCAGGCACCATCTAGTTCTGGTCTTAGGGCTGTGGAGACTGATGTTTCCATGATGGACTAATTGCCTCGATACTTCTATTTGATTTTATTCACTATTCTTCCCTTCACGTGTGAGAGACCCATAGTTGTACCTTAGAGGTTGCTCTCTACTCGCTGTTTTAAGGTGCTCTTTGGGTTCAAACAATTAAGCAATTTGCTGATAACATACAGGTTGGCAGCTTTAACCCTGATTACATCACAGAAAGTGCTCTGGAGTAGTGCAGTATTGTCACACGCAGTCACTGTGAGCCCTAATGCACCTAAGAACAAATCACTCTTCCAGCTTCATTTCCTACCGTCCCCCTTTCACCGTAGCCGCCTTCCTGCCTTTATGTCCTATCGCCCGGCCTGTTCCAGCCAACTTAGCCCACCTCTTCTGAATGCAGCATATTCTTTCAGACTGATGTTCCTTTGCTCATGCTGTTCCTTCTGCTTGAAATGCATTTCTGATCCTTCACTGGTCAACAAATTCTCAGTTTTTAGGTTGGCTCAGATATGAATGTTCTTTTAAAACTCTTTAACTACTTAACATTATATGTTCTACCCTCTAGTCCAATCATATGATACAGCTTTTAGTACATCATTTGTAATTTATCATTTGTGTCAGATTTCTCCATCAAGTTTTGAACCCCTTGATAATAGAGACTGTATCTGACTTAAGTTTTTGGCCTTAGTACCTGGCATTGAACATACCGTTGGCAAAAAATATTTTTTAATGAATTATAATTATTATTCATTCAATATAATTATAATTATATTACCATTATTCTTTTTCACTCTTCTCCTTCTTCCTCTTTTCTTTTTGTCTTTTCATTCCACCCTTTTGCTTTCCTTATCCTTCACTGTATCTCTTTTCCTTTCTCCATCTTTTTAAATTGTGCTCTTTCGTAGGTAGGGATTTGTCAGACAAAGGTATGTCATAAGATCTACCAACGGATACTACTTGTTTGTTCCTTTTTTGCAGAAAATATTTAAAGCTGAAACTTGATTTTTTTTAAGTTTTCAACTTTTTTTTTTTAATAAACATTTTATTAGGGGCTCATACAACTGTTATCACAATCCATACACACATCAATTGTGTAAAGCGCATTTGTACATTCATTGCCCTCATCATTCTCAAAACATTTCCTCTCCACTTAAACCCCC